AGCTGGCAGTCAAATAGTGCTCTCATACAACGTTGGGTATGGAGGCGGGCACTGTCTTTACGTCGATTCTGGCGCGACCCTGAGTGTGACCACCGCGACGCCGAACCCGACGCCCTACCCGACGCCCTACCCGACGCCCTACCCGACGCCTTACCCTACGCCCTACCCGACGCCCTACCCGACGCCGAACCCGACGCCGAACCCGACGCCGAACCCTACGCCCTACCCTACGCCCTACCCGACGCCCTACCCGACGCCGAACCCGACGCCGAACCCGACGCCGAACCCGACGCCCTACCCGACGCCCTACCCGACGCCCTACCCGACGCCGAACCCGACGCCGAACCCGACGCCGTTCCCGACGTCGTTCCCGACGCCGTTCCCGACGCCTTACCCGACGCCCTACCCGACGTCTTTCCCGACGTCTTTCCCGACGTCTTTCCCGACGCCCTACCCGACGGCTTTCCCGACGCCCTTCCCGACGCCCTTCCCGACGCCCTTCCCGACGCCCTTCCCGACGGCCTTCCCGACGCCGTTCCCGACGCCGTTCCCGACAGCTTTCCCGACGCCGTTCCCGACGCCCAGCCCGACCCCCAGCCCGACGTATCCTCCGGGCTGGCCGACGCCACATCCGACGTTTCCTCCCGGAGCTCCCATGGCTGGTGGAGCTGGCGCAGGCGTGGCTGCCACTGGCGACCCCCACCTTCAGAACGTTCTTGGTCAGCGGTTCGACTTGATGAAACCAGGGAAGCATGTTCTGATCAACATCCCCCGTGGAAGGCGTTCCAATGCAATGCTTCGCGTGGAGGCTGAGGCGCGTCAATTTGGAGGGCAGTGCGCAGACATGTATTTCCACGAGTTGAATATCACGGGTGCTTGGGTGGAGGCGAAGGGGACCGACGGTCTCCGTTTCACAGCTGAGGGTGCGCGCGACGAGCATCCACAGTGGTTGAAGTTCGGGGGTGTAGAATTGAAAGTCGCCCATGGGCGCACTGATCAGGGCGCCTTGTACTTGAACTTCTACGTCAAGCATCTTGGGCGCGGTGGGTTTGCCGTCGGAGGCTTGCTAGGAGAGGATGACCACACCGAAGCATCGATGCCTTCGAAGGCGTGCGTTCACCGCGCAACCCTTTTTGAGACTGCGGCTCGGAGTCATGAATATACAGGCGCCTTCTCGACTGCAGAGGCAACCTTCTAATGATGACATGCGTGCGGGGTGAGGGCAATGCGGCACGTGTGCACAATCGATGTTTCTGTTCCTGGCGTGGGGAAAAAAGATGGTCTTGTGGCCTGGGTCCGACTGTACAACCAATTACGAAACCTACCTCTGCGGGTCCAATCGACATGTGGTATCGGACACTCCCGCTGGAGCCCCAGCCCGCGTTTCAGAAATCTGACCTGCAGGCCTGCAGGGGTTGGCGCTTCGGATGTGGTTTCTCGTCGGAGGAGAGTGTCGCCAGGCGTCACGAAGCAGCTGCAACGTGGGAGCCCAGGCATGTGATGCCATTCTTTTTGCAATCCGCGGTCCCCAGACGTCCCGACCTTTCCCCTGGGACCGGCTTCTCATCCGGGTCGTCTTGTAACGGTCATGGGGCCCGGCGAGGGCCCTCAGAGGGCGAAAGCGGTAAGAAAGCCCGCTGTCGCGATCTTTCTTCTCGACGCGAGCATGCCTGCGAGGAGGGGGTCGCCGGGCGTCTGTCGCCGCCGCCGGCTTTCGTCAGCGAGAGAAGGACGTACACGTACATGAACCCGTGTATGTTTTGAAGGTACGTTTTGTTCGAACGTCCGTGCCCGTATGACGAGGCTGGTCTTTCTTTTTGTAATGCGTCGTCGTCGGTGGCGGCGGCGGCGGCGTCGGCGTCGGCGTCGGCGCCGTGGTCGTCGTCGGTCGCCGCCGCCAGCTGCCGCCGCCGTCCCCTGTTGGTTCGTTCTTGTTTTGAGTCTCCAGGGGCCGCTCCCCGTCCACGGGACAGGGTGTAGGTCCAGCCCTGGGGGCAGCTGCCACGTCGGATCTACAGTCGGACCGAGTTATACGATCGAGGTGTGTTCGGGGAGACTATCCTGGTGTTTCTCGTGTCTGTTGGATTTTCTTGCGCATCCTGGAGGAGGTACTATGAAATGAAACCGTGTACTACCCTCATATATACTCCTTACTCTCCTGTCTCCTGGCCGTTTGGCTCAAGGTATTGGTATCGATCAGACGGTTGATCGCACAGGAGAAAAAGATCCCAATCTTCCCTTCATTTTCTCTGCCTACGGATCAGGGGTTCTGTACCTTTGTACTCCAACCCCGTACACAGGTTATCAGCCCTCGTCGAGTTCCGACGACGGCGAGCGACCTTCGACGGGACGGACAGCGGCGACTTCGGCCCGGCCCTCATGCGCCTGCAGACCGCCAAGGAGCACGCGGGCTCCGGAGGACCGCCCCCGAGCACAGCCTCGCGCGATCAGCCGGCCGTGCTCGACGGCGGAGCAGCGGCCGGATCCGAGCAGGAGGGCGCTAGAGAGCGTGCGAGGTCGGCTCCCAGAGAAGCGACGCAGACCTCCATCGTCACCGAGAGGATCAAGCGCAAGCAAGCCGACAAGGAGATCCACTGGAGGGCCATCAAGGACTCCGACAGGGAGCTCTACCGAGAGGTGGCGGCCAAGCAGTGGAGCGAGTGGCAGAAGTACGGATCCTGTCAGGTGCTCACCATCGAGGAGTCCGAGGCGGTCAGGGGCAGGGTCAAGGCCAAATCTGATCTTGCCCAGCCGGTTTGTGTATCGGGATATGAACGCGCCGCTACGGACTGACAAGCACCCGCTGCCAGTCAAGGCCAAGGCCCGACTCTGCGTCGGGGGTCACATGGACCCGCGCCTCGCTCAGGGCGACCTGCGCACAGACGCGCCTACGGTCACCCGCAACTCGACTATGCTGTTCTTCGCCGTCTGCCAGAGGTTCGACCTGGAGATTTACGCAGCGGACGTGGAGGCGGCTTCATGCAAGGCGACGAGCAGCCCGACCAGCAGTTGTACATGGCTCAGCCCCGCGAGGGCTTACCTGGGTTGCACCCGAAGCCGTTGATCAAAATCCTCAAGGGAGTCTTCGGGCTAGCCACCGCACCGCGACAGTGGTGGGCTAAGCTCAAAAGGACTTTGCTTGCAGTGGAGGAGAAGCTAGGTGACTACATGTTCCGACTTCGCCAGCACTCGCAGGATCCAGCGCTGTACTACGGCTACGACAAGCATGGTGAGCTGTGCGCGGTGGTGGTCGCCCGCGTGGACGACCTGCTGCTGGGCGTCTCGCCTAAGTACCCGACACTGAACGACCGGCTCTACAAGCTCCTGCCGTGGGGCGACTGGAGGGGTTTGCCATTTACCTTTTGTGGCAAGCGGGCGTGGCGCGACGAGGAGGGGGTCCTACACTTACGCCAGACAGATTACGCGAACACGATGGAGGAGATCGCGCTCAGCAAGGAGCGCAAGACGGAGCTGTCGGCGGAGGCGACGCCAGCCGAGTTTTTGGACAACCGCTCCGCCCTCGGAGCGCTTGGACGGCTCTCATCGCAGACCCGACCAGACCTGTCAGCTGGAGTGGCCATGGGACAGCGCACCCAGAACAAGCCCACCATCCAGGACCTGCTTGAGACGAATCGGCTCATCAACCTGGCGCGGAAGCGCGCGGACGTGGGACTGGAATTCCCGAAGCTACGTGGACCGCTTTGCCTGGTCACTTACCACGACGCCAGCTGGGCCAATGCTGACGAGCCACCTGAAGGTGTCATAGCTACGCTACTCACCAAGATCGTGGGCAGCAAGGACAAGAATATCAAGATCCGCTCGCAGGCCGGCTACGTGACTTTCACTGCCGAGGCCAAGCTGTTGTGCGGCGACAAGGCGCGAGCGGGAATCGTTGATTGGCGGTCAGGCACCATCGAGAGAATTTGCAGATTTAATTTGGCAGCCGAGACGATGTCAGCAGTAGGCGCATTAGGTTGTGCTCAGATCGCACGCTGTGTTTTCGCTTCGCTGGAGATGCCGGATGCTCATCCGGAAAAGATTCCCCCGAGTTTGCTGCCGCTTGTTCAGGTCACAGGTTGCGCTAGCTTGTACGATACGATGCACAAAGACGGTAATTCCAAGCTCCCGTCAGAGCGGCGCCATTTGCTAGACCTAGTAGGCTTTAAGGAGTCACTAGAAGAGGAAATCAGTAACGAATTCGTTGCCGACGATCAGCGTAGCCAGCTGCCTCTCTTCTGGGGTCCGACCGACCAGCAGCTCGGTGATCAGTTTACCAAGCGATCTGACGGCAGTGCCATCAGGGCAGTGCTGCGAGACACACGCCTCGCATTGCAGCGTTCAGAGCCAACCGAAGCCCGAGAGCATGAGGCACATATGAACAGTGCCGGCTCGCTTTTCAAGCGCGCCATCCGCCTGGTTTCAGGATAGTGCGCATTAGGCGCTTGGTTTCAGCTTGGTTGGTTGACGTGAGATCAGACACGTCCAAACGATCTAAGACCAGAGACGCACATATCATATCAATTTTGCACGATTGTGATATCTATAGTGTCCGTGCTGATCTGTAAGCAGTGTAGCATAGCATGCCAGCAGGCAAGCAGAGTGTGCCAATATTCAGGCGAGAGGTAACATGTCCTTTCGTATCCATTCGGGCTCCAGGGCCCTTGAGCTTGGGCGTATCGGTAGGGGCCATCGCGGGTTCCGCTAAGCAGCCATCTTTCGCCATCCATTGCGGATATTATTGATATCATTGCTGTATCTTCGCTGACATACAACCTCGCGGTTATTATTGCACGAAGACCCCGCTTTGCAGTATTGGGTCTACATCCTCCTTCTCCTCCGGCTCATCCCACCTCTCCTCTCCTCTTCGTCCCCCTCCTCCTCCTCCTGCTCCTGCTCTTGCTCCTCCTCCTCCTCCTCGTGCTCCTCCTCTTCCTCCTCCTCCTCCTCCTCCTCCTCGTCCTCCTCCTCATCATCCTCCTCCTCCCCCGCCCCCTCTTGAGGAGGAGAAGGAGGAGGGCGGCTGGGCGCTTGACGCGGACCCGCTGGCGGCCGTCGCCGCGGCGCTGGGCGCCGAGCTGCCGGCGCTGCCGCCCCCGCAGGCCGCGCTCATGTTGATCGGGCCTGCGAAGGTGGAGGGTGGAGGACGGAGGAGGAGGAGGAGGAGGAGGGGGAGGAGGAGGAGGACGAGGAGGAGGAGGAGGACGAGGAGGAGGAGGAGGACCCCCCGCGCTTCGCTGGCTGCGAAATCTTTGAACTTCAGCCAGCAGTGCGATCCGCACTGGCGAAGCTCCGCGTAGCAAGCGCGGGCGTGGGCTAACGGTTTGTGGCGCGCCTCAGCGACGCGCCAGGAGGAGCGCATCCCATCCATGTCGCAGGAGGAGGAGGAGGAGGAGGAGGAGGAGCAAGACTACGTGCACTCATCCTCATCCTCCTCCTCCTCATCATCATCATTATCATCATCATCATCTGATCATCATCATCATCATCATCATCAGCATCATCATCATCATCATCATCATCATCATCATCATCATCATCATCATCACCGCCATCACACCATGTTTCCCACTCGCCATCGCGACTCCGCCATCATGGCTCGTCGTTGTCATAATTATTCTCACATCTTCCTCATCATCGTTACCATCACAACCATGATTTCGACGGCTGAAAAATCACGCCCTAGAGCTAGCTCGCCAGTCGCTCGCGGAGGATATGCGAGACATCGCGGCCGCCCCCCTGGAGCCAAACGACCCGCGCAGGAGGGCCCAGAAACTCAAATGTTTGGTCCCTGGCGCCAGCGACGCCGTCAAGGCCGTCAAGGACCCAGAGAACGGATTGTTCACGTCCTCGGAGGAGATCGTCCGGGCTCTCCAACGACATTGGAGCAAGGTGTTCAGCAACAGGACGATCGACGAGGAGCTCTTGCAACAGTGGCTCACTTCGCTGCCACACATCAGCGACAAGCAACAGCAGTCGACACCAGCGCAGCAAACTCGCCCCCCCGTGCAGCGCGCACGTGACGCCCAACGCAGCAAGCAACGCCGCAACCCCCACCTGGGCCCTCGCAGGCGTCGCCCGCTCCAGATGGCACACGCCGCCGTCTGTCCACGACCTCTGGGCGCTCCGAAAGCGGCCAGAGGATCCGCCTTCCAACCCACAGTTGGGAGTGGAGAGTCGCGCACCAGGATACAGTCGGGGCGTTGAAGAAGGAACCTCTTGCGTTGGGGAGGGGCTCGGTGTTCCTTAATTGTTCCGCACCTTGCCCAAGGTTTTCCCCAAGTTTTCGATGGGAAGTCGAAGTTTAGTGTGTGGAGAAAAGGGGCCTCGTTCCTTATTTAGGATTCCTTAGGTCGACGCCTCGACTGTATCTAGCATGCGTTTTCCCACAGTGGGAACATCATGCCGGGTCCAGACGGCATCCCCTTCCAGGCGCCTGGCGTCAATTGGGGCCGCCAGGGAAGGACATCCTCACCCGGGTGGCTTGGGCGCTCGAGCGCGAAGATGCCGAACACCTTCTGAGAGAGGCATATCACGACGATCCCAATGAGCTCGACCACTCGGTCAACCTGGGCACGTTGGTCTGCCTGCCCAAGAAAAGCATGGGATACCACGGACAGCAACCTGCCGTACTTCCTCCCGGAGGGGACGCGGCCCCTCTCGATTTTAACTTGCGACAGCCGCTTGATCGCGAATGCGGTGCGCCAGAAGTGGGAGACCAACATCTCGGATTCGATTTTGCCGCGCCAGCAGGGCTTTCTCCCCCAGCGCTCCATCATCACCAACCTCATCGGGCTCGAGACGGACATGATGGTTACGGCACTTTCTCAGGACAATGGGGCTTGCATCCGTCTGGACTTCAAGGCGTCCTTCCCGTCCATCGCCCAGAATTGTCTGTTCCAGACCCAGGAATTCGTCGGGCTGCCCGCCAACGCTTTGCACACGGTCCGCCACCTCTACAGCAGCGCGTCGTTCAGAATAGTTGGCGGCGGCACGTACGAGGGCTTTAACTTGACAGCTGGGGTGCGGCATCGGTGTCTCTGTCGCCCTTGTTGTACGCGGTCGTCGCAGAACTGTTGCTCGACATGATCTGCGAAGTCTGCCCGGGAGTGCGAAGCTACGCCTACGCGGACGATGCCGCCTTGATGATCAACGACGTCGACCAGCAGGCCCCACGGCTGGCACGCTTGTGCGAAGAGTTCTCTTGCATTTCTGGCCTTGAGAGCTCAACCTCGATAAGTGCGTCGTCATCCCCCTGGGCGGCGGGAGCACGACGGAGTTTCAACGGCGGCTCGCTAAACGCGTCCCCGCATGGGGCTGGATGCAAATCGGGCTGAAAAGCGCAAATCTCGGTTTCGTGAACGTGCCCGAAAATGGCGAGGATCACCGGATAATACCCTTAGACAAGTACGTCGCTCGCTGCCGCGCGTGGAGCGACCTTGGCGTCGGGCTACACTCCAGCGCCCTGGTGTACAACACATTCGTCGCGTCGGTGCCCACATTCATCATGCAGCTGGAGCCACTCCCGGACGAAGCGCTGGAGCGAGAGTCGGGCGCCGCGTAATGGGGGGGTCATAAATGGGGGGGGTGGCAAGGATGGTTCGAAAAGGTACCCAAACGGTACCTAAACGAGCCTCCTGGGGCTCTGGAGGGGCCCGAAAGGGGCACGAAAGGGGACCTTTTCTGACCCCCCCGTTTATGACCCCCCCCATTAAGTCCCGCCCGAGAGAGTCGCAGGTGTTGCGAATGATGGCGAAAGGCCCCGGAGCATGGTGCCAGACCGCCCGCTCGCGCTCGAGGCGCGAGGCTGCGCCCTCGCGTCGCCGCCGGCTGGCGCGGGTGGTTCGAAGGAGCGTTCGTGCTTAACCTCGCACAGGCCTTAAATTACAGCTGGGGCCCTGAAGAAGGAACCCTTTTCGTTGGGGAGGGGCTCCGCTTTCCTTAAGTGTTTCGCAGCTTGCCTCAGGCTTTCCTTATGTTTCCGATGGGAAATCGAAGGTTAACTCATGGAAAAAAGGGGCCTCGTTCCTTATTCAGGGTTCCTTAGGTCAAAGCCCCGACTGTAACCTCGCACAGGCCTTGGATTATGTTCAGCGCACACTGGCAGGGGTTCGCAGGCTACAGAAGGGCATGGGCGACGAGGTCTTCCGGGGCAGCTCTCAGAAGATCGTCTACCAAAGCATCTTGGACAAGGAGGCCCCCCACGCGCTGATGCGTGTCCAACACACGTTCAACAACCGCTGCCTTTGGAACGCTGCTGTCTTCCCGCAGCCGCCTGGCATCAGCATCTTACAGAGTACGCCGCGCTGCGCGGCTTTTCGGGCTCTCAGGTAGCTGCAACGGCTGAAGAAGGCGATCGTGGCGCCGCGGATGCAGTCAGCGCCTTTCAGCACAATGTGTAAAGGGTGGGCAAATCTCCAACGATTCTAGCACCGCCACGCCCCTACCAACCTATGTCTGCTTGGATGCGCGCCCAGGGCAGAGGATTCGATGGAGCACTATTGCAGATGCCCTTTGACTGCCCGGCCTTTACAACAGAGGTTCAACCTGGACGCGTCAGTCTTCGGCAACCTCCACACGTGCTTGCTCACCACTGTCCACATCAATAACAAGGAGACGCTATGTAAGATAGGGCTGTTTATCTACGCGGTGTACAACGCCGTCACTTGCATCCGGCGCAGCGAAGTGGCACCCGATGCCTCCTTCGTCTGCCTGCGCCAGTCCTTGCGCGAGGGGCCAAGGGCCACAAGTTCTCGACGACGGTGCTCGACGGCATCTTCTGGACACCCCGGGGCGCCAGGGGAAGGTGATCGTTATTGTTTTCCTGTTCTTCTACGGCGACTACAGCCGCGGCAGGTGATGCCTCTCCGCTCCTCCTCTTCCTCCTCCTCCTCCTCCTCCTTCGCTTCGTCGCTCCGCCGACTGGGGGCGCCGATTTGTCGGCGCAGGCCAGCGGTCTGTCCGCGGCGGATGGAGCGCAGAGCGATCGACTACGGCGGGCTGTCGCCCTCCCCTTCCCCCCCCTCCCTCCCTTCGGCCTCTCTCCCGCCCATCGTCCGAGGATTCGTGGCGCCGATTCGTTGCGCGGGGCGGGCTGTGCCAGGGCGGAGCGCCCGCTCATCGCGCCGCTCAGCCGAGACGCCCTGCGCGGGCCCTCCTCCTCCTCCGCCTCCTCCGCCCCCCGGCTTCCGAGCTCGGATCGAAGCAACTTTGCGATTTTGCGGCCCTGTGGTTCGAGGCGGTCCTTCCTGCTGTCATTTCCTTCGTCGTCTTCGTCGTCGTCGTCGTCGTCGTCTCGTCTCTTCCCCTCCTCTCGCCCTTCCCGCTCCCTACTTTCTTTGGTCGTCGGCCTCCTTCCTCGGGGGCTAACCCTCGCTGCTGGCTGGTGAACGGTGCGCTCACGTGCGTCCGCTTGCGGATGCATGTGGGTGCATCGTTCGCCTCCCGCGGCTTGGTGCCGCCCCTGCTCTCTCCTGGGTCTCGCCCGTCGTTGCTGCTTGCTGGTGGACCGTTCTGGCTCCGAGCCCGGGGTTAATTCCAAGTTTTTGCGGCCACGCTCGCAGGACAAAGTGTGTGTGTGACGGCTTCCTGGGGGGGGGGCAAGATTTGTCCGCCCGCCCGTGCGCGCGTCATCGCAGGACTACGCTGAGATAGCTGTTTATACCCAGCTCTGCGTTCTTGCATCTGGCTGTTTATGCCCAGCCATTTGCCAGTTCTTAGGAGAATCGCGAGTTCCGGTGAAGTTGCAATGCGTCTCGCATCACCGGCCCCGCGGCCGGGACATGACGGGTTATTGCATTTCCGCCAGTGCTTAGGAGAACACGCGTCCGTTGTGACGACCGTCGCGCGACGTCGCTTATATATCGCCCGGTGGCCTCAAAGAGGCCCCCGCGGCAGTTCACCAGTATTGTTTCCAGGGCGTTTGTTCGCATCCTGTTTCTTCTCCCTCTGTTTCCTCGTCCGCCGCCCCTTCACAAGCAACAACTCTGCATGGCCTTTTTTTTGGTATAGACGCGGAGCGTCCTGGGGATCGGGGCACGCGCTGGCCAGGCCAGCGTCGACTCCACCCTTTGCGCGCCGCGGTGACCCAACACATTTGAAG